ATTATAAATAATAAAATAAAATAACGTTTAGCTCTTGGCCGAGGGTTACTGAATGTCTATATTCATCATAATGTAGTATGGTTGTCACAATAATAACACATTACGTGTGCAATTTTATAACAATTAGTTACATTGATTTCATACATAGCCATGAACACAATAAAAACTCCTAGAGAATAAGCAAAAAAATTCCTATAATACTAATTTTAAAAGTTATTATAATAATATATAGAAAATACATATGATTTTTAAACAACATTAACGAAAATATACTTATGTTTGTAGAACTAACCGCTATAAAACATTTCAAAATGAAACATACTGTAAGAACCGAATTATCCTTAGCCGTAAAATGTCCTTTTATTACAAAAGTTTTTTTTTTATTTCTCTATCAAAAAAAACAACTTCATGTGGCTTTCACCTTTCGGACAACAAAAAATTTTAAGTTTATATTTAGGCGTCAAGCTATTTTGTCATTATTATTTTTATTCTTATCTCTATCTTCTCTACTATTTTCTTTTTCAACATAGTGCAAGTCCGGTGACTATGCTCTCACAGAATACCAGCATAAAATAAAAGCTTAATGCTGTTGTGTTTCGTATTGTAAGTGAAGAGAACCGTTGGGTTGACAATGCATCTGTATTTTGATATTTATTCGAAGATAAATGTAGATGTCTATGGGCCACAGTATTCATTTTTCATCAGATGGATCGTATGCACGTTTTCTATTAAAAAAAAATTGGTATATTTTTTCCTGTAAGCTGTACAAATTTTTGTGAAACTACAAATTCTGGCCCAATTCGTAATAAAACTTTTTTTGAAAATTTTATCTAGACTCCGCAGCCTAAATGCATCTAAATTAGTCTAATTTGCTTACTTCCACTGGTATATACACAAGTAATAACTTGGAACTGCAGCTCAAAATAGAAGCAAAATTCATTATTAAAAACAAACAATACAAGCAAGACTTGGGGCATCGCGAGTCACTACGCGACCTTTTCAATAAGACCAATATTTCGACACTTAAGTAATTGTTTAATATAAAGTTATTTATTTAATAAAACCGGACCGTCTCTTGTGTAACATAACAATTTTACAACAAAATTAATACAAATATAGTTCAAAATATAATTTAACCGTGGAAGGAAAAGGCTGAGAGGCTCCCGCCGGGCAAAGTGTTCAGCCCAGGCAGCGATCAACACTCCATATGATAGTTTAGAGCTATTTTATATATATCCCAAAACTTCGGAACTTTGATAACGCGATTTAGGCTTCGATGAGTTATGCTTGTGGCGCGACGACAGCACCCGCCACATTGAAACAATCATGTATAAATTTTAAAAAGTTGTCAAGGAAATTTTGTTAAATAAAATCTACTTATAAAATAGCTCAGTATACTTATAGAGGACAATGGTGTATGGAAATAACTCTTACTCTACCCTTGCAAGTCCCCAACTATCCTTTTTTTTTTCAAAACTGACATTTTAAAAATATTTATTGATTTTTGACTTTGTATTATAAGTTGTAATAATTATTATAAATAAAATTGTACCACAGCCTTTAAAAAAATCCCAGATTTACTTGCCGGTTCTTCTCTGAGAAAGTCTTGTTTATGTGAACCAATGTTGATTTTGATTTACTTTAGAGCTTTAAATAAGTCTAAACGGAACGTGTGTGAACTTTTGACTGTAATGGATAGATGAAATATAGTCTTTTACTTCATCATAAATGAAATCCGTAGAATACTTAATATGTTGTAGTCATACTTTGAATGCTACATGAATTGATTTACTCTTAACGAATGAAATGAAAGTGTTTTATAATCATCATCGCAATAAACGAACTGACATGCGTGTGTTTAAAATTGATTGTGTACATAAACGATCGTTCACAAAGGGAACGAAGTCAGGCGCTTATTAAAGCGATCATATTTAAGTAGTTAAGTAACAGTAAAATTAAATGAGATATGATGGGCCTCTCCCCTCCTAAATATTTGTTAATTTGTCTAATGTATAAAATAAAATTCTTTTACGCTTCACATAGACGACACAAAGTGCGTTGCTTTGATACTTATATTTTTATAGAAGTAAACATGGAAAATGAGTGCATATTCTACATATATACACAGTAATCTATGGTGGATACCGTGGCCCCAATGAATCAAAATACAGATGCCTTTTAAAGACTAACATCAAATACCTGCCAAGCGTGGCAACTATGGCAAATTCCCCTCTATGAGGCACTCTATGGGGGATGCCTATTGCCTATGTTCAGCAGTGGACTTTTATAGTTATTAAACTACTATATTATAAATGTCTGGTTACTGTTTCTCAACGTGCTGATATTTGCTGCTGGTACTAGACGTATGTCAATCGTTAATGACTCGTTCATTTGACCCGGGTCACATCAAAGTATTAATGAATGCAATTACTTTTTTGAACGTTTTGGAGCAAACGATTGACAGGCCCTACGACTCTACGACCGACATTGTCGAGCGGCTCTCACAGATCCCAGAGTACTGAAACTCGAAATTATCCATTTGAATGATCGACCCGAATGACTCGGTTCGTAAGACGAATCAATACTAAATGATCGGGTCACTAAAAATGAATGAATATAACATGTCTCGCAGGTACTCTCAGCGAGCGTGGTACTTCTCCGATCGAGCTGACCCATTCGTACCGCAACCGTTATCCCACTTCTTCTGCTTTATCAGCCCGTAGAGGACTGCTGTGGGCATAAGCCTCTTCCGGATGGCTTAGCAGGCAAATTGGTTATAGGAGTATCAGATGTCTCGCACATATTGTAACGGCTCCGTGGCACGGTGGCTTATATGTTGTAGCGCTAAGGATCGTCGGTTCGAAATTCGAATCCCGTACGGAACAAATATTCGTATGACCTACAAATGATTGTTGCTGGTAAGGATGTTTGTCCTTGTGAAATGAATGTCCGTAAACTGCCCTCAGGATACAGGAAAAATCCCAGTATGAAGGTAAGGTTTTAAAAAAACCTCTCACGCTAATGTCCGTCGCTTATCTCATAAATATTTAGATCTAGCGTAAACGACATAGAAATATTGCCACCATTGAAAATTATTACATTTTTTCCGGTAATTTTTCTGGTTTTCCATAGTCGCTTCTTACGTCACCCATGTGACGAAATGAATTGGTGAACATTTTTCCGTCATCACTACACGGCGGACTCAACTTCGACATAAACGAATACTCTCGGTACATTTGCACCGAACACATTGTTAAATTAGCTGAAAAGAAATTAACTACTTTAAAAAGAAATAGCTATTCGCTAATTAGGAATTTTTTTAATTGAATCTAATCATTATATTGCTAATAGCTTAATTGGTTTAAGAGTCGGCAAAAATAGTTTTAAAGAGGACCGTAGTTAAATTGACCATTCTAAAGTCTACTCTTACGTAGGATTTCTTTTAACGAAGTGTTTTGGAACGTAACAGACACAATGTAGCCATTGTTTACTGAAGTTTATTGTTTTATTTACACATGTAAATTGCTTCGTGTTACTATGAGTGGATTAAACAATTAATTATGTAAATGCGAAGGTATGAACACCGCTTAATAAGGGCGGGTCACGTAGTCTACATCGAAATTGTGTGAAAATGAAACACAGTGGAAACACACCCTATTAATTAATCTAAAATTACACCAAACAATGTACAGTAATAATTATTCTGCAGCATTGTTGCATTATCAGATATAAATAAAACTGGCATCGTAGCATATAATTTCGCTCGGAATTCCGAGGCTTTGGAATTAAAATTATAACTTAGTTTGTTCAAATAATATAATAACCATTGTAACTAATAATCTGAAGAGCTGAGGTCATATCAAATACTAAGCACTCGCCGTAAATATCACAGTATGTGGGCAATCCGGGTTCGATCCCCGCTGGCATCAATAAAATTGTTAATTGCAATTTTAAGTGTTAACTTAGAATGTTCTCGGCGGTGAAGTAAAATATCGTGGGGGTTAAGAATCAAAAAACAGATGCGTTGCACACTTGAGGCACAGTTTAAACCTTACTCTAAACTGTGCTTGAAGACTTAGGTAAAATACCTCGTTATCAGTTTAAAGTATTTCGGTTCTTGTCAACTATATACTATAGAACGTGGGAGTGAGCGGAGCCCGTGTAGCCACTAAAATGTCATTAACACGTCAATTCACACGTATAAATGTCAACACGAGATGTGTTTTGACGTTACAATCGTTTCCAAATTTCCCATGTAAATTATTTAGAAAATGCCAAATTGCACGCTATTTACAAATAAATATGTATTAAAATCTGACTGTCAACATAGCGCATCGGGTTTGTACTAGTGATAATTTATTATTGCTTGTATGTGTGCTCCCGGCGACGCCTATCGTCGTACAAAATAAGGTTGACAGCCATTGTATTGTGTATTATAGTATTCGATGTTGTGAACACAGGAGCATTATGCTGCTTTTTCACGCTGGTAATCTGTGTCCTGGTTGAGGCGACCCATTTGTGCCGCGGCCATAATATATCGTAGACTGCAGCGTAGCTCTACCACGTAAATATATAAACTAGTTGAGTATCAGCGGCAGTCTTGGGTGAAAAAACGAAAACGGTTAATAAAAGTCACTCTTCTCTTGTGTACACATTTTGAACATGTCTTAAAGACATTATTTATAGTAAAGAAATACTGATGCAGATAAATTACCTAGTCCATGTCAAGACATTTCGTCCGTTTGCTTGGTATATCCAAACCGAAAGGATGGAAACTCGCCGTGGCTTTTTGACAGACGATGGTAAATAGAGAATTATTGCGTAACTCCTGTGCACAGTCCCCAACGTGTAGCACTGCTAAGCGTAGGCTGTTCTCATATAATATTGTCGACGACTACAAAACAAAAACGACAAAGGACACTGGATATGTTACAAGCTATCTACATGATAATATAATGAATGTGTAAAAGAAAATTCACCTTAACATTGTCTTTTTACAGAAATAACAGCAGAAGTAATCAAGCTTAATATAACGAGCAACTGGAAACCGGATTTCGGATGGGAAGTAATATGTTCTTGGGAGATGCTGCCGAATGACACGCTTCAATCGGTGCGGCTACAAAACAATGGCCAGCAATTTATGATTTATAGACCCGAGGTAGGTAGTGTTACCAATGGATTTGAAACCATCGACGCCTATATAATATATTATTATACATACATGATTATAAGGTTAATAAAAATGATAAAACCATAGAACAACATATTATGTAAAAATAATAAGATTTGTGGGTAATCGTAACAGCGTTATAAGCTATAAAAGGTACTGTTGTATCTTAGTGGGGGTTCGGTTGTGAGTTTCCTGCCTACAAGTTAGTTGCTGCTTGCTGCTCGAATATGTGATCATTTACATTAAGTAAAGAATAATATATAATTACTGTGATTCGTTGATCAAGTGAATAAAAAGTGTTACAGTGTAATCTGTTTTACTTCATATCTACTAATTAAAAGTAGAATTGTATAAAATCCAAACCTAAAAACCGAATTTAAAAACTAAAATATTTTTCACATTGTGAAGTTAGTGCTAAAAGATAGTTCAGAAGGTACTATGTGGAAATTGTTTTTCTTATAGAATATGGGTAATAAATGAGCACAGTCCACCTAATAGCAAGTAGATACCGTGGTTCATAGAAATTTACATTTATCCTCGAATAAGAATCAATCTAGAATGCGTTATCACCCCCGAGGACTAAGAAGAAATGCCGCGTATCCAGTACAATGTTTCCGGTTTCTTTTGACTCCGAAAAGGGTTTTGGAGTTAATTTTTAATTTAATTAAAAGGTTAATTTGTTTGTAATTTTGATTTGACTAAGCAACATCACAAGCTCAATTTAACAACTGGAATGTAATCTAAATAGTAACACTTCACCTCTATTTTTTTTTGAGTGGAATTTTTTCCTCAATTTTAAACGTATTTACACTTACACTATAGTCTACTTAATTTAAAAAAACCGTCTTTATGTAAATTTTTCCAAAAAAGAATTATTTAAAAGAAGGAACCGATTGTATCGCGGCAGCTATCTTCTATCTAGAGAAATCGGTGTAGTGTACTATATTTTGAAAACGTACACATTATAAAAAAGTACAAATATAAAAGCTTTTTAAAAAAGCTATTTAAGATATTATAATAATACCAACATGTTAGTGAATAAATTACAAAATACAGCACGAATCGTAATAAAAGTACACAAACAAACACGCACGCACGATCGCATGTACGCTCGCAATGTCATGCAAATGACAAATTATTAAACTTTAAACATGTAAAAGGTATTTTTGCTACAATTCTTATTATTCCAATGGTCAAATGAGTAAAATAGTATGTGTTGATGGTCGGAGGAATTTATAAGGTAGGTGAGGGTAATACGGTCACCTTAAGCTTTGCTGCCCTAGGACTAGGGAAACTAGGAGTAGGACAGAGACCAAAACACAAAGTCGTATACTATAATTAATATATTAAGAAAAAATTAGCAATCAAGCTTTGGCAATAATTAGGAACACTTCGAAAAATCAACTTAAAAATCTAACTACACTACACCATACTAAAAACTACTAAAATATTTACTATAATGTCAACTGTCAAAATGGCGTCGATAAAGCAGCGCCTTTTTGACCCTTTATTATTTGATTGACTAATGACAAGCTATTGTATCACACAGCCATCTATGCAAACATGGCTGTATTTTTTGAGTTATTAGAAAGTGACCATATTAACCCGATGAAAGAAATACAGACTATAGTAAGTGAGTCTCGCTCACTCATCACACTCATGAGTCGACTCGCGTACTATAGTCTGTATTTCTTTTATAAATCTCAAGTGACAAACGAATCTACAGTCTACGTGATTTTAAGTATCTACTGCACACCATACCTGTCGCCAAATTAAAACAAAGAAGGCTACCGATGTCACCTCTACTCTGTGGGGTAGATGTAAAATGTCTCACTTCTTTCTATACCCTCCAGAGCGAAACACAGCAATAAAAGCATTGATATTTGTCAGCAGAAATAGATAAGGGGATAGAGCCTACACAGATCGATTCTAGGTAGAAAGAAGTCTTATCACCTAGTAAAGGACGCTCTAATTTATTTTAGCTGATTTAATGATATTATCAATAAAGCGTGGCAACTGTGGTAAATATCCCTCGCTATGAGTCAAACTACGAGGAAAACCTAAGTTCATCACTTAGTAGACTTTTGATCTGTAATGATGATGATTATGATTAATTGTGACAAGTCTTATGGAAATTATCTGTAAGTAAAAGCTACTGAAATTTTAACTGTTTGCTTTGCAAAAGGGAACCAAATCTCTATTAAAATAGTGTAATGTTCTACAATCCACATTTCAGAGGCATTATAAGAATATCGCTGCAACGTTTAGTCTGTACAAACGTATTACTCTGTTTTCTCGATGTATTACTACGTAGTACTATTATTTATTCTGTGGTATTACACTAGAGAAAATATTTTTTAACAGTACCGTCTGTACTGATAGTGCTATTTTCATATATTTTGTCTTTCTTTAAATGAATAATTAAAAAAAAAACTATGAAAATTCTTATATAATTTTCATAAAATATATAGCTCTTGAAGTTAGAGCTAAGACAATATTTTGACTTTAAATATATGTAAACTATCCATACATCACGTATATGTGCCATAAAGCTACTCTGTGCCTATTTTAACGCATTCTACACATCCACACAGATTTTGTGCGCGGTATCTTATCTAGTGTATAGTGCATATTACTTCAACGTTTCTTAAATTATTTTTATAATTGTAGAACTTTATAAAAATGTAATTTTGCGTTAGAAGAAGAAGAATTCGCTGAATTTCTTGCTGGTTCCTTTCAAAAATTGACTTTCCATAAATACTATTTAAAATCTATGTTCCACTCTATTGTTCGAAATCATATTAATAACAACTCACATAATTTCTTAATTGTGATAGTTTTAATATCCTGGAGTTATTAAAACAAAAAACTATAAATTCCATGACAACAAAATAGGTAGTGCCCGTCGATTTTATCGCGTTATATTAATGCGCTCTAATTAACATAGTTGTGTGTTATTGCTAAACAAATGAGAAAAGTTTTGTACAATATAAAAGAAAAATATTTTGAATTAAAAACTGCTAGTACAGTACTAATCGTGTAGGTAGTAGCGGTGTAGGAATATCCCTTACCCCCATGTCGTCCCGTGGGTGTCAATAGAGACAGACAAAGGGAAACTAATCAGGAGATGGGCAGCAGCATCTTCCTAGCAGTACATTTGCACTGAGAAACATTCAACACGTAATGTTTTGAAACAAATCGCATAAAATAAATCTCACATGTTTTTCAACAGATATTCAAACTTATCTTTCAACATGACATTATTTCTACAAATCTGTTTTAGAACATTTTGTTCCTGTAGTTATAAAGATACATATAATATAGATAAAATGTGTAATGTACAATAAACTGTCAAACATATTTCACTAGAACATGTTCTCTGACTGTGCAAACGCTTTTTAATACATTGACAGAAAACAGTGTTTTTTTTTGTGAAAATCGCGTCAGTGCAAACTCACGGTAAAAACAACCCGCCTACCAAGGCTATTAACGATAGCAAGTGTCTCAACCAAGAGAATTGTTTCTTATGGAGACTGAACGTATGTCTGCATATATATCTATATGTAGACTTATGTTCAGCGGTTTGCTATGATAAGTAGCTATAACCATAGTTGTAACTATGAAATAGATACTCTTAATACAACAAGTGGTAGAATTAAAAAATTTTGTACAACCGATTTCAATACAAATAAAATAAGAACATCATCAATGTATTCGAAGTCAATTAAATACGCATTATTTAAGATAATTCAAAAACTGATAGTCAGATCTTGATCAAATTTCTCTCATGAGAAGCACCGGCCTTAAAAAAAATTCACAGGAAACGTACATAATAAAAATACAGTCAAACCTCCTCTTTTTTGAAGTCGGTTGAAAAGCAGATTTAACTACAAATCACAAGCTTATCCCTATTTGTTATTTCAAACATTATGTCAACATTATAAGTTAGGTACTTACGTTTTTATTTTAAAACAGATACATGGAACATCGAGAGCCGAAATATTCAGAACACCGCAAAATGTTATGAACGTTGACTGCACACTCACCGCTACGAAAGGTCGCCGAGGAATATGTGTCCTCAACATTGAACCTTACCAACCACCAACTAATGACTTCACGTACACCTGCGAGGTGTCAGGAGAAAGACCCACTTTTATGATTGAAAGAAAAGATTACATTGTGAAGACACTTGGTAAGTTTATTAGTGATGGGTTAGTATAACATGTTTTTTTTATAGGATTGGGTGACAAACGAGCACACAGTCCACCTGATGGTAAGTGGTTGCTGCGGTCCATAGGCTTCTACAGCTATCCTCGATTACAGATCAAAATGCAGATGCGTTGTCACCCGTGAGAACTAAGATGGAATGCCTCGTTTCCAGTAAAAAATGGTCTCCGGACCTCTACACTCACCATACAAAACACAGCAGTATTAAGCTGCTATTATACGATGGTATTCTGTGAGAGCGTGGTCTTTCCCCGATCGAGCCGACCCATTAGTTAATAATTAATTAGCTAAGATCCACGTAATAGAATAAAATGGTGTGTCTTAACTAGTTTAAGGAGCACATCACGCCCTCCTTCAATTGTGTGTACTATACCGTCACCACTAATACCAGCACCACTACTTCAAATACCACTACACTAGGAACACCGCCGTCGATAATACGACACGTGTTTCGCCTTTAAAGGAGGCATTCTCTGGTGAAATAATCGCTAAGTGAAAGATACAGTAAGTAGTCTTTATAAAGTTAGCATCTTTAATACACTGCATTACCGAGATGTAACGTAACTATTAATTGATGATAGATTCGGTAAAGCGTGAGACCGTCCAGTCATAGTTTATGTGAAAATACCTGAAAACCGTGCCGGAGGGACCAAGTAGATTACATCAGACTCAGAATACATAATAGTACTGTTTCAGACCTGTAAAGACTTGTAGCTCAACGACAGAGCCAACTTTGTAGGAATCGTTTGTGTTATCGTAACGCTTAGCAAGAGCTTCGAGTGGTCGTAAACGCAGATACTAATAACGAAGTTCCGGGTTCGAACTCCGTATCGGACCAAAAAATCAGTTATTGGGTTTTTCTATCAACAAATTCTCTATAGCAGCCCGGAGGCATAAACTTGGCGGTGTTTCCCGCGCCTCAGCCCTTTTCAAGTCGCATCGGTTTGCCGTTCCATCAGACTATAGGGGTGACGAAATAGAATGCACTTATGCTTGCACACACCCGTGTACGTGTACTATAACCATGTCCTGCGTAGATGGCTAGTCTCCGTTGAGAGTCGCCGCCATGACTGAAATTCGAAATGGAGGGAGGATTATTATTGGTACACTTTACATGTTTCCGCATTATGTGAAACGTGCAGTTTAATAATGGTTTCTATATTGTTGAGATCTATACATTACAATATAGTGCCAAATTCATAACGGATTCTATCGCCTCCTCTTGCGCTGTGGGTTTCGTAAAAGACAACTTTGGAAAATCGGAAAAAGCTCCTTGCTTTTGACGGATTGTTGTTCACTATTATCATCAGCCTATCAGTAGTCCACTGCTAAACATAAGCCTCCTCTATATATTGCCACATTAGGGAGATATTTGCCATAGTAACCACACTTGGTTGGCAACCGCAGTTCTTTAATTTTATTCAGCTGTTCATCAAGAAGTTGCTGGTGCCAATCTCCTGGTTTGTTTTCTCTCTGTCATCTCTTAGGACACCTACGGTGTGATATAGGATAGTGGATATTTTAACACAGCCACTACTCGGTTAACCTTACTACCACTATCTCGTATATGCAATATGTAAAATACCCAGACCAGTAACGAGGAGTGGCATCAAGGGTGGCAGAAATTTAGTAGTGCGATCATCAGTCTCGCCAACCATGGCAATACCCTTTCTATCCCGACATAGTTCTTAAATACGGTTGCAGCTTATGCACAACATGAACATCACTCTGGAAACATATCACTTTAAAATCAAACATATCACTTTAAAATCAAACATATCACTTATGCCTTTTTTTGCCGTTGCCAGTACCACCAAGCGCAGCAAAGCTGGAATACAAGTCTTACGAAGAAGTACCACCAGGTCGTGTGATGTTAAACTGCACTTCCAGCGGTTTGCCAGTACCAAGCTTGCAATGGAATGTCGCTGATGACAAGGTAATCAAAAAGGCTTTGATATTTTACAAACAAAAATATAATGTAAAATTTTTATACGTAGTAGAGCCATGCTGCACCTATATTATGGTTGTAGCATAAATGGGTCGGCGCCACCGGGGAAGGACCACGCTCTCACAGAATACCAGCGTGAAATAGCAGCTTAATACTCCTGTGTTTCGTTTGGTGAGTGTAAAGATCCGAAGACCCTTTTTTACTGGAAACGAGGCATTCCATCTTAGTCCTCAGGGGCGACAACGCATCTGCGTTTTGATTATTAATCGAGGATAAGTTTAGATGTCTATGGGCCACAGCATCCACTTACCGTCAGGTAAAATATGTCGTTTGTCACCCTTATTCTATAAAAAAAACTTCATATTTGTAACGACATAACTTCATGTCTGCCCGTAAAGGATCACGACTAGCCACTGCTCTGTCGTTCTAGGAAGGACATATGGCAAGCATATTCAGTATCGCAGTTCTATCAGACGTCTGGGTCTCGCACCTTAGGCGCAGTTTCTCGTCGCCAGATTGAATATTATACCGTCCGGCATTAACGAGGTGGAACTACCGCCATCTATCGGAAGCATAAGAATTTTTTGATCTACGGATACGGAACATTGTCGCTTTGTATGGTGTGTTAGCACGGTGATGGATTCTCTAAAGCCGTCGCACGACATTAACAACCTTCGACCAACAATACCAACCATAGAATACTATAATACATACATACATAATAGAACAGGGGAGAAGGCGGAGCTCGCGTAGCTACTTAAATCTAAAATGTCACTAACACGTCAATTCACACGTATAAATGTCAACACGAGATGTGTTTTGACGTTACAATCGTTTCCAAATTTCGCATGCAAATTATTTAAAAAAATGCCAAATTGCACCCTATTTACAAATAAATATGTAATTATATTTTATTAATAAACGATACTTTTTAATGATGATCTTGAACATTAATCAAAAGTCTATAATGTGTAAATTTATTCAGTCTGTCAACACAGCGAATCGGGTTTGGCGACGCCAAACCTCGTACATAATAAAGTTGACAGCCATTCTATTGTGTAGGTATAGTATTTTATGATACCAACTATTGATCGAAGTTAACAACACATAACATCATATAGACAAGCCGAAGAAATATGCTTCTTCGAACTAGGGTTGCCACCCATACTATAATATATAGTATCCTACTATATATCAGTCAATTGTACTATACAGAATGGGTCCCACATATATGCAATAAATGAAACCACAAGTAATACTAGTCCGTAGAAGTGTAGAAAAATTAAATATTAAATTAAAACCCGTAAAATAAAAAAGTGAAATTTTCAAACAAAATAAATATTAAAATAAATTCAGTAAAAGTGAACACTCTGTTTAGACAACGTACCTTGACCCTTGGAAGAGTGACAACGTTGCACGCGGGTGGCACGCCGACAAAAGACACCGCTGTCGATATGTCGCAATACCAATAGTTTGCACTGCGTGGCAACGTCGCTTTTTAATGTTCAAGGATTCAAGTTCATTGAATCATTGACTTAGTGACCCAATTCTATAGAGTGTTCAAATTTGCTTAAAATTAAAACTCTACTTTTTGACCTAATTACTGGACCGATTACGTTCATTTTTTTGTATATCGTCAGCAAAGGCGATAAAAAGTATATGGTTTCATTTATTGCATATATGTGGGACCCATTCTGTATATTATAGAAAAATAACATACCTAGTACGAAAAATACTATATTTTATCCCTAATTCAAATGTCGCATTTTTGAAGTAAAACTTCTTTACTTTTCTTGAGGAGTAAGCTGGAGAACATGTGACGAAAGCGGTACGAAAAGTGTGACCGGGCGAGACGAACGTGAGTTAAGAGGGTATAAGCAAGAGAGAGCAGTGCGCGCGCACATTTTCTTGCTCTTTTTCTCTCATAGTTACGTTTCGTATTTTATGAATTAATATTTTTTTCAATACATTAAATAAATTTAAATATTTGTACAAAATTAATATATGTATATTTATATACATGTATATATTATACATATATGCATAATATATAAACATATATATAATAGATCTTTACATATGAAATTGGCGTTTTATACGGGAAGAATATAAAGTCATTTTTTGTAAAATATATTTAATTAATCAAAGTATGCACGGTTGTTATCTATGCACTTTTGCCATCTCATAGGTAGTTCATTGATCTCTGAACTAAAAAAACCATGGGGGCAAGAATCAATAAACTCTTTGAAGGCGGTTTGGACTGCCGAATCTGAGTTGAATTTTTTTGTAGCTCATCTAACTTAGTGGTTGTTTGCTGTGCAGTGTGTGGTCTTGCGTTGACTAGAGCGATTGACCTATCTCGGTTGTTTAGCAGCTAGTTCTTGCTTCATGGTTTTCAGTTGCTGACAATCGATATATGCCGTAATCGCTTGGCTAGATTTTAGAAAACTGTAGTGAACGACACTGGCACTAGTCCACCAAACACTCACAAGTAACTTTTTCTGAGTCAATTTTCGTTTAGGGCACGATTTGGCTAGGTCTCCAGCGTTCAGCCATTGCGACGAGCGACTTTTCATCACAAGTAATGGTTCGATTTAAAATCCCTTCATTTTTGTGTCGGTTGAGCAAAGTAACACAGCAGTCGACGCGTGTTTGCAAGTTCGATTCACTCAATTCATGAGGTATCCATCGTTCAAGTATTTTTACTTTCCCGATTTGCTTCAAGTGGATTAATACAGTTTTATCACTTACTCCGAAGCCTGCAGCTATCTCTGAAGTGCTTTGTGATGGATCCGCTTCCACAATAACCTTTAATTCTTAATCATCCACTTTGGTCTCCGGCCGTCCACGGGGTTGGTTCTGAAGATCGAAATTTCCAGAATAAAAACGTTGAAACCAAAAACGTACCGTGCTTTCTTTTACAACACCAGCGCCGTACACATCATTAATCCTTCGAGCTGTTTCTGCAGCACTGGTGCCACGGTAGAACTCATACTCGTAAATATACCGATATTTCATGTTTTCCATTGTGCGGTAATAAGCGACGCCAAAGAAAAAAATAATGAGGAAAAAAGAAATGAATGACTGTTTTCAAAACCCAAATGTACGAGCTAAATGAATTTATACATTTCAATTTGGAATTCTTGACAAAAGAGGAGATATTTCAGATCAAAGTGGTCAGTACGACAAAATGCTAGTTTAATATCTAAGGACCAAATATATACAGATGGGCTAAAGAAGTTTTACTTCAGGCGTGTGGTCATAAGCACACTCGTTTTTTTTATATTAACTGTGGTTAAAGTCTGGAACAAGTAAGTTTTACAGAAATGTTTTTTTCCATCATGAATGTAAAATTGAAAAAGAATAAAATAGAGCATGTATTATGTAATTTTATTAAAAATTAATTGTTAATTTAATATGAATCTAAATTGTTCACACTCATATAATTATTTTAAAGGTATTAGTTCATTGAAGGCCAAAGCAAAAAGCAATAACAAATATATATATATATATGGAAAAATACATAAAGATTAAAAATAAATGTGTACTTTTTTCTCCTAAATTTATCAAAAGTAATTATATATTTTGATCTTTTTTGGAAAAAACTATATTTGTTCAAAAAAGGTGGCAACCCTACTTACGATATCAACGACGAAAACTCTTGTTATATTGCTTCATGAAGCCACGACGTGATTAGTAATCATTACAGATAGTAAATAGCTTACTCCTCTCTCATTTGATAGTGGCAGACGTCTCTCACCTTTGACGCCTCATTGCCGTAATATTTCAGATCGACATGCATCTAGACTGCCTAGTTGGTCTATTAGTTATAGTAGTGCAACTGCTAATCATGAGATCCCGGGTTCGAATTGTATCGAAATCGAATCGAATCGAATCGAAAGGTTTAAAGCGACAAAAGCCTAATGACAGGGCGCCGACCGCGAACTCAAAAAGGTCGTGGGTTCGAATCCGCCATTCGACTACTGGCGTGTACCACTCGTAACACAAGCAATTTAAGCTTATAACGAGTGGTTAAGGGGAATATTAGTAATGTTTATAGCATTGTTAATGTTCTTAAAAAAAATGAAAAAAATACCAGGTCGGGCCCAAAAAAATCAGTTTATTGAGTTTTTCCGTCAAGAAATTCTCAGTAGTTGCCCGGAGTCAGAAATATGGCGGTGTCTCACCCCCGTGCCTTGGAAAGCACGTAAAGCCGTTGGTCCTGCGCCTGATCTCTCTCCGGTTGTGTCTGTTTACCATCCCATCGGACTATGAGAATGAGGGAATAGAGAGTGCACCTGTGCTTGTACATACACTTGGACACTATAGTCCTATCCTGCGCCCTTGACTAGTCCCCATTGAGGCAGGCCGCCGTGACCGAAATTCGGTCTGGTGAACATTATTTACAATCGAGCATAACATTTTACAATACTGTAGATTGCGGCGTTAAACGGATACCACGCGATCTTCCATGAATTTCCCTTAACAAGTTTATTATTAAGTTGCCCGTCTTGAGAAGTGGATTTCGCTTTACTGAGTATTGAATTTTCATACCTTACTGAGTACGAAATTTAGATTCAATCTATTGATTACTAGTTTAGAACTCGTTGGGATTCCATTCGAATGATTGTGACACCACTAACTATTGATTCTTAAAGTTATTGCGTCATTTATTATCTATATCTGAATATTGTTGGTACAGCTAAAACGCTTTTTCTTCAAATAATGCCGAAACAGACCGACTCATCGACCACGTCCAGATGGCTACACACGCCGTGCTACAACAGATCCCATCCGCAGAGATCGTGATCTTTGAGATTCTAACGCCTACCACGCTGAATGGCTTGGTTCTCGTTTAACCGATCATCCAGGTAGATCTGTTTATGACTTTGCTTTGGCATATGGATACGCTACGCGGATCCCAGTTGTGGAAGATCATGTACCTTCCCTGTTGGACCTCTCATCCGGACGGATATCAGGTCTCCGTC